TTTACTATTTTCATCCCACACCCCGAATCTGTATAATATATAAGTAAAGAAAAAAACTTTTCAAGAAAGGGAGTAAACGTAAGGATGTCTAATATCAATTCTATAAAAACAATGTAAACAAGATAGTAGGGATGGTACTTGTATCGTTCCTAGATAATAGCACAGGCACACAGTGTAGTAAAATGTTAACAGAGAAAAATAGGATGAATTAAGCTCAATTTTGATTGAATACTTATATATATATATGTTGCTATCTGTTAATTCTTGCCTGTGCTATTATGTAGGGATGATGCAAATGCCATCCCTACTATCTTGTTTACATTGTTTTTATAGAATTGATATTAGACATCCTTACGTTTACTCCCTTTCTTGAAAAGTTTTTTTCTTTACTTATATATTATACAGATTCGGGGTGTGGGATGAAAATAGTAAAAATTGAATTAGATACGAAACATTATTATGTGGAATTTAACTCTCATAAAAGAATGAAAAGTCCATTAGAGTGACTAACGACTAAATTCAACGACGTTAAAATATATATTTTGTTCTTAGTTTGTTCAATATCCGTATATTATTTAAATCAATATATTAGCACGTACGTGAAGCGTGTTGACACTCACCCGTTCCTTTTCCACGTGCAGTGGTCTTAAGTGGGGATCAAACAGAAGTTTTGAAGGATCAATATCCACGGGAGACTGGCGATGACCCATGTTACACAGACTCCACTCTGGATTCAAAAGACCCCAATAATTGGGTCCTGTAAAATAAAGATGTTGATAGACATAAAATCTATTCCCACGTAAAAAAAATTAAAACATAAACAATTTGTAGATTGTGAATATAATCTCAGTTAAATATTTTTTATAGGTACACGTTAATAATGCAATAGAATCTGAAAGAAATCCCACTAATTTAAAATTAACCCCTTTAAACCCCTAGTGACGCTATGAAACTCCATCTCACAGCAACTAATACGAGAACGCATAAATTACGAATTAACAGAAAAACAAATGACACGAAAGCAGAACATTTAAAAACGTTACCCGATTAAAACAGAAAAATGTAAATTGCAGAACATCTTGACCACAGACACAAGGAGTAGCATGTAAATGATAAGCAACTAAGGCTAAGGTATGAAGTATAATGAGGGGCAGGCAGAATGTGTTCTAGAAAGAGAGATATCTGCCTATATAAAGGAATACGAACCGCAGCCGTAATAAATACTATTCGTTTTAACCTCTCATGTGAGATGAGAATGTAAAACGACAAGTTGTAGATGTCCAAATTCATAACGTTCCACTTCTAAAAATACTCCCTTTAACCGTTAGAAAGAAAATAGAAAGGAAAGAGTATCTGTATTTCTGGCGCGTGTGTAAGTTGGTTGTTATCAGATAGTTGTAAATATTCTTCCATAAAGAGTAATATAATGAGAATGATAATTATAACATTAAAAATTACGCATGGAGTCACAGTTGTGAGAAGATGTGTAAGAGGTCAGAAAAGAATTGCATAATAACATATAATGAAATGAAAATTACCTTTGTAAACGTATAGAGCATTTGATAAGGGAATGAGCTTTAAATACCAGTGTCAGTGTTCGTTATTCTTCTTGACTGCAGCTTCAGCGTGAATTAAATAAAACCGTCTAGCAACGGAAGTACAGAACGATGAAATTTAATGACGAGTTTGACACGCTGAAAGGTTCTATTAAACCTTCCTTTTTTAAAGAGTTTTACGCTGAAAGGTACTATTAGATCTTCCCTTTTTAAAGAGTTTTACGCTGAAAGGTACTATTAGATCTTCCCTTTTTAAAGAGTTTTACGCTGAAAGGTACTATTAGATCTTCCCTTTTTAAAGAGTTTTATGCTGAAAGGTCTTGTTAGACTATCCCTTTTTAAAGAGGTTTACGCTGAAAGGTACTATTAGATCTTCCCTTTTTAAAGAGTTTACACTGAAAGGTACAATTAGATCTTTACTTTTTAAAGAGTTTTACGCTGAAAGGTACTATTAGATCTTCCATTTTTAAAGAGTTTTACGCGACTCTAAACTGCATTATTAAACAATTACAGAAACATGTGCAGAGACACTATATGTGTTTTATTTCTTTTTTTATCAATGGAGCGCTATATTCTTGACCCCATGGAATTCGGTAGATCTTCTTGCCTTCATGCCTACCCCTCATGGTGATAAGATATAATACAAAATTGTCTGTACAGTCAGGCACGAATTGAGTTATATACTGAAAAATATCTTTTCCAAAAACGATCCATGAATATTTCTTTACGCACCCTTGTTTTGGCCACTTTATTTTATAAGCTTAGTTAAGAATATTAGTAAAGTAGTTTTCCCTGACGTTTTCTGCTGATTCAGAATTAGAGGCACGTGAACAAGGATAGCATTCCTGTGGTTTAAACGCATACATAAAGCAATAAGGAAAATTATTGAAACGCAGAATAATAATAATGATATGATAATAACTAGGTTCTTTACGCTTATAGTTTGTTCAACATCGATTTAATAAAAAAAAGCATAAATACCGTTATTAATATACTCCTTAAAGTATCTTTTTTTTTACTTAAGATATAATCTCATACTTTCGTTTATGTACTAGTGATATTTTTTATCATTGGTGTTTACTTTAGATTAAGATGCACTTCACACACACGTTTGTATTTTTTATAGCGAAGCCACATCGGGACATCTGCTGTGGCCGCCGAGGGGAATCGAACCGCTGAGCTCGGCATTATAAATTCGTAGACTTACCGCTGTCCCAAGCGGGGGACTTGCGTATGCATCTTTCTATTTCAGATTTTATTCGTTCTCTTCTGGTACAAGAAGTTCATGGTTAAAAAACGGAGAACCCAATTATTACTGTTTAAAGAAAACATCATTATTTGGTAAATACGAGTCGAAGGATTTGAAGTTAAACCATCTATTGTGTGTTATAAAAACAAGTTAACTGCAGATATGTTTGCACTTTCATATTATCTTGAACATTACTACTCAAAATCAGAGGTGTAAAATAGCTCTTCAGATTTATCTTTTGTCTCTCACACGTCATTGCCCAATAAGCCTTTCGTTCAATACCAGAACTCATCAGTTGGGCTGGACGATGAGATACAAAAGGTTGTACGAAACGCTATTTA